TCATTATTATTATTATTAGTAGTAGTAGTAGTAGCAGTAGTAGTAGTAGTAGTAGTAGTAGTAGTAGTAGTAGTAGTAGTAGTAGTAGTAGTAGTAGTAGCAGTCGCCTAACATTTATATTAAAAGGTTCATGATGATATAAAAAACATCATTAATAATAATGACAATAATAATAATAATGAACGGTTATAAATAATAAAAAAAACAAACATAATAAATAAATAAATAAATAAATAAATATTAATAATAATGATAATTATAATAACAACAATAAGTCAGCCATCCGCTTTTGGTGGTGTGAACCAGCCTGAAAAATTATTGAATAACGATAATTATTATTATTTTTATATTATGATTAATAATAATAACAAAAATAAACGTTATTATTATTATTATTATAGTTATTTTATGATTATTATAACAATAATTATAATTATTATTATTCCTAAGATGTAGTAATATAGACGAGACATAATTTCATACGGAGCATAAATAATAATAACAATAATATTCATAATAATTATATTAATAATCAAAATAATAAAAACTTATGTAATAATAATAACAATAATATTCATAATAATTATATTAATAATCATAATAATAAAAAAATATGTAATAATAATAACAATAATAATAACAATATTATTCATAATAATTATATTAATAATCATAATAATAAAAAAGTATGTAATAATAATAATAATAATAATATTCATAATAATTATATTAATAATCATAATAATAAAAACGTATGTAATAATAATGATAATAATTATAACAATAATAATAATAACCGTTTTTTTCGTGAATCTGTATCAGAGATCTGAACGACTGCTGTGCTCGAGCTAAACTGTATTGGTTCTGCGATTGTGATTGGTTGTGATTTTGATTGGTTGTGATTGTGATTGGTTGTGATTGTGATTGGTTGTGACTGTGATTGGTTGTGACTGTGATTGGTTGTGACTGTGATTGGTTGGTTCTGCGATTGTGATTGGGTGATGGAATGATCGATTGGTCCTGCGATTGTGATTGTGATTGGTTCTGTGATTGGTTGGTTGATTAATTGATTGGTTCTGTGATTGTGATTGGCTGATGGAATGATTGATTGGTCATGCGATTGTGATTGGTTGTGATTGTGATTGGTTCTGTGATTGATAGGTTGATTGATTGGTCATGCAATTGTGATTGGTTGTGATTGTGAT